TTTTTGTTTTTAAATCCAAGCTATTGTGACACCAGATGTAATTGGTGGCACTGACTGGGGAAATGGGCACAGTATGCACCGTGAGCCTGACACAGAAGCTGGCAGCAGTGGCAGACAACTGACTGCTATTCAATCTATAACAGTGAAAAAAGTTTTTTGTTTTTAAATCCAAGCTATTGTGACACCAGATGTAATTGGTGGCACTGACTGGGGGAAATGGGCACAGTATGCACTGTGAGCCTGACACAGAAGCTGGCAGCAGTGGCAGACAACTGACTGCTATTCAATCTATAACAGTGAAAAAAGTTTTTTGTTTTTAAATCCAAGCTATTGTGACACCAGATGTAATTGGTGGCACTGACTGGGGAAATGGGCACTGTGAGCCTGACACAGAAGCTGGCAGCAGTGGCAGACAACTAAGTGCATTTACATTACATAGAAAAAAAAAATCCAAAAAAAGCATACCCTTATCCCTAACCTAGCTATGCTTTTCCCTATCTTATGAACAGCAGCTACACTTTCCCTCCTCTTACTAAGCATGCAGCTTGAGAATGAATCTAAAATGGATGCTGTCCAGTAGGTGGGAGGGTCTGCTAGGGAGGCTGTGCTGCTAATTGGCTGGAATGTGTCTGCTGACTGTGAGGTACAGGGTCAAAGTTTACTCAATGATGACGAATAGGGGGCGGGTCGAACCGCGCATATGTTCGCCCGCCGTGGCGAACGCGAACATGCTATGTTCGCCAGGAACCGTTCGCCGGCAAACCGTTCGGTACATCACTATTAAAGGATAATATTCAAGAATTCCTTGAGAAGAACATGGTTATCAGCAAAAATCAGCACGGTTTTATGAAGCACAGGTCATGTCAAACTAACTTGATTGCGTTCTACGAAGAAGTAAGTAGAAGTATAGATCAGGGTGTTGCAGTGGATGTGATCTATTTGGATTTTGCCTAAGCATTTGATACAGTTCCACACAATAGATTAGTGTTCAAACTCAAGGAAATTGGTCTAGATGAAAATGTTTGTTCTTGGGTAGAACATTGGCTTAAAAACAGAGTACAAAGAGTTGTCATTAATGGTAAATTTCCAAGCTGGACAGAGGTGGCAAGTGGTGTCCCTCAGGGGTCTGTTCTGGGACCCCTTCTATTTAACATGTTTATAAATGATCTTGAAGACAGCATTGAAAGTCATGTTTCAGTGTTTGCAGATGACACAAACTCTGTAAAATAATACAATGTGAGCAAAATATTACTTTGCTGCAGAGGAATTTAGATAGACTGGGGGACTGGACACTCAAATGGCAGATGAAATTTAATGTTGAAAAATGCAAAGTGTAACGGAGCTTCCCGTACTCCGACCGAGTACCCTCTGTTGAAGGATGCTCCTAGCGCTTCCTGAGGACTCCAAGCACTGCAGCAGACACCACAACCACCGCAGACTCCGCAACTGCTGTAGCTTGACTGGAGTCTCACCGTCTTCCTTCCACCCTGGATCAGCTTCTGTCCTCCAGGACTGTGTGGGAAAGACCTCTTCCTTCCACCCTGTATGAACCTCCAGCATCCAGGACCGTGTGGGGAAGTCCTCTCCTCCAAGGAAAGCGTGTCAGGAACAAGCTCTTAAAAGATCTAAGTGATTCAAGCTCAGAGGAGTATGCAGAGCATAGCAATCCCCAGTGTGATTATAACCAGCTCCCTCCAATAACGAGACAAGGCTACGTTTAGAGGGATCAAGAAGAACTGTCTAAACCTTTATTTTACTTGGGACTAGCCCATATCACATTAACATTGCTGTGAAAACTCAATAAAATCACAAACAGTCAAACCATATCAGGCAACACACAGTGACTTATCACAACACAATGGCACATTTCCAAATAGGTGGGGGAGACTATAACTAACAGAAAATATCTCACGTGTCTGCAGAATTAGCAATATGCAAATCTACTCGTATATGCAAATGAACCAGTCTTGCTATTCAGGTAGTGCATATTGCTGTTGCTACCAACAGAGGGCACTAGACAAGCTCCATAGCCAAATCCACCTAGTTGGTAGCAAACCTCAGCAGTACAGGAGAGCAGGCAATACATTGCACAGTACATACACTCTATAAACAATTACATTACACACACCCTGCACCTATTATGGGTACAGGGTGACTTAAACATAAGAGACATAAAGCAACCTACATAAATAGTCTGTCTGAAGGTAGAATAGGGGCTTTAAAGCCAAATACATCCAAGAGTCATAGTCACAGGGGAGGAGGTTGGCAAGCAGGCCTCTCCAGGACCAAGGGGCGAAGGGCACTTCGTCATACAAAGTTATGCACTTAGGCGTAAAGAATACACAAGCAACGTATACCCTTAATGGAAGCGAATTAGGGA